AGTCATGGAGAAGATTATCAGGAGAAGAGTGGTGGAACACCTAGAAAGGAATGATCTCATCAACAGCAGCCAACATGGTTTCAGGAATGGGAAATCCTGTGTCACAGACCTACTGGAGTTCTATGACATGGTGACAGCAGTAAAACAAGAGAGAGAGGGGTGGGTGGATTGCATTTTTTTTTTGGACTGCAAGAAGGCGTTTGACACAGTTCCACACAAGAGATTAATGCAAAAACTGGAGGACCAAGCAGGGATAACAGGGAAGTCATTACAATGGATCAGGGAATACTTGTCAGGAAGACAGCAGCGAGTCATGGTACGTGGCAAGGTGTCAGAGTGGGCACCTGTGACCAGCGGGGTCCCACAGGGGTCAGTCCTAGGACCAGTGTTGTTTCTGGTATTTGTGAACGACATGACGGAAGGAATAGATTCCTAAGTGTCCCTGTTTGCAGATGACGTGAAGTTGATGAGAAGAATTCATTCGATCGAAGACCAGGCAGAACTACAAAGGGATCTGGACAGGCTGCAGACTTGGTCCAGAAATTGGCTCCTAGAGTTCAACCCCACCAAGTGCAAAGTCATGAAGATTGGGGAAGGGCAAAGAAGACCGCAGACGGAGTACAGTCTAGGAGGCCAGAGACTACAAACCTTGCTCAAGGAAAAAGATCTTGGGGTGAGTATAACACCAGGCACATCTCCTGAAGCGCACATCAACCAAATAATTGCTGCAGCATATGGGCGCCTAGCAAACCTCAGAACAGCATTCCGACATCTTAATAAGGAATCGTTCAGGACCCTGTACACCGTGTACGTTAGGCCCATGTTGGAGTATGCGGCACCAGTTTGGAACCCACACCTAGCCACCTAGTCCCAGAGCTAAGAGGTATGTCCTACAAGGAGAGGTTAAGGGAAATCAACCTGACGACACTGGAGGACAGGAGAGATAGGGGGGACATGATAACGACATACAAAATACTGAGAGGAATTGACAAGGTGGACAAAAACAGGATACACAAATAACCCGCACATAAAAGAAAGAAGCTTACGACGACGTTTCGGTCCGACTTGGACCATTGACAAAGTGTGACTTTGTCAATGGTCCAAATCTGACCGAAATGTCGTCGTAAGCTTCTCTCTTTTATGTGCGGGTTATTTGTGTATCGTTCCAGTCACGGTATTGTGCCTTTTTTTATTTAGTTAAAAACAGGATGTTCCAGAGATGGGACACAGTAACAAGGGAACACAGTTGGAAGTTGAAGACACAGATGAATCACAGGGATGTTAGGAAGTATTTCTTCAGCCACAGAGTAGTCAGGAAGTGGAATAGTTTGGGAAGCGATGTAGTGGAGGCAGAATCCATACATAGCTTTAAGCAGAGGTATGATAGAGTTTACAGTTTAGGGAGAGTGACCTAGCAGCGACCAGTGAAGAGGCGGGGCCAGGAGCTTGGACTCGACCCCTGCAACCTCAACTAGGTGAGTACACACACACACACGGAAGCAGAAGAGAAGTTCGTATCCCGGAGCACCAGAAACAATGAGAAGACCAGAGTGAGACCATAGTTTACCAAGTGTGGAGAGGCTAGAGCCAAGTATGCTAGAGCATGGAAAAATTATAGAAGACAAAGGACTCCAGAAAACAAGGAGCTGAGCCAACAAGCCAGAAACGAATATGCATTGATGAGGAGGAAGGCCCCGCACCAATATGAGACTGACATAATATCAAAAGACAAATCTGAAGGAAAGAGGGGAACTCACAGGGAGCGACCAGGAAATAAGTGAAGAGCTCAGTACGAAATTTAGGGAGGAATTCTTAAAGGAGATAGAAAGGCTTCCAGCAAACTGAGGCAGTAGAGTGCACCAGTAAGTGCTGGACACAATACACACAACAGAGGAGAAGAAACTGCCATGCTGAGTTAGATACCTCGAAGGCAGTGGGCCCAGATAATATCTCTCTACTTTTTCTGAGAGGGGGAGCACAGACGCTGTATGTGCCACTAACAGTCTTCAGCAAATCTATGGAAACCAGGCAATTGCCGGGGGTGTGGAAAGTAGTAAATGTAGTCTCAATTAAGAAATGAGACAGACAGGCAGCATTAAACTACAGACCAGTGTCACTGATGTGAATAGTATGAAAAGATATGGAGAAAATTATCAGAAGAGTGGAGTACCTAGAAAGGAATACACTCACACATGACAACCAGCAGGGTTGGTTAGATGGAATATCCTCTGTCACCAACTTACCAGAGCTCTACAACAAGGTAACATAAGTAAGACAGGAAAGGGATGGGTAGACTGCATTTTTTGGTTTGTAAGAAGGCTCTTGACACAGTAGCACACCTGGTACAAAAGCTAGAGGAGCAGGCAGAAATAACAGGAAAAGCACTGCAATGGATCAGGGAATACCTGATAGGAAGAAAATGAGTGATGGTACATAATGAGGTGTCAGAGTGGGCGCATGTGACGAGCCGGGTTCCGCAAGGATCAGTCCCAAGGCTGGTGCTATTTCTGGTATATGTGAGTGACATGATAGAAGGGATAAAGTCAGGTGTCCTTGTTCACAGACGATGTGAAACCAATGAGGAGAATACAAGCAGTCGATGATCAGGTAAGATTGCATTGGGATCTGGACAGACTGCAAGCCTGACCCGACAATTGGTTCCTGGAATTTAACCCCATCCAGTGCAAAGTTATGAAACAAGGGGAAGGACGAAGAAGACCACAGACAAAGTCCACCTTAAAGGGTCAAAGGCTGTGAACCTCACTCAAGAAGAATCTTGGGGTAAACATCATACCGAGCACATCTACTGAGGTGCACATCAGCCAAATAACTGCTGCAGCACACAGATGACTGGCAAACCTGAGAATAGAGTTTCAACATCTAAGGAGTTATTCATGACACTTCACCGTGTATGTCAGACACTGTGTACATCAGACACTGTACACCATGTATGTCAGACACTGTACACCACTATGTACATCATGGACACTGTACACCATGTATGTCAGGCCCATACTGGAGTATTCAACACCAGTATGGAACCCACACCTTGTCAAGCACATCAAGAAATTAGAGAAAGTGCAAAGGTTTGCAACAAGACTAGTCCCGGAGCTGATGGGTATGCCCTATGAGGAGAGGTCAAGAGAATTCACCCTGATGACACTGAAGGACATGAGAGATAGTGGAAGATGATAACACTAACACAAGGTGAACAGGGACAGAATGTTTCAAGAGATGGGACACAGGTACAAAGGGAACACAACTGGAAGTTGAAAACTCAGACGAGTCAAAGGGATGTTAGTGTAGAGAAATTTTCTCCAACTGGAGAGTGATTACCCCTCTCTCTACTTTTCCACACTAGAGATGCCGGTGTGGCCTAGAGGGACTCATGTTTTGCAACATAGCTTAATTAGAGCATACCAGAAACATCCAATTATCTTAACACTTGCTACTGACTCTGCAGAATCAAACACTCGAGTGGGACTGGTCACACAAGACATGTCCAGCAGAGACTACACTCATTACATCTTCATGTTTGTCCGGGAAGTTTCTTTTTCTCCAGACTATTAAAAATTAAAAAAATATATGCCTTGAAGCTGATAATATAGTTCGGGTCATTATACCTGATGTCCTGCACCTCTGACTCAACAAATCTGCACTGCTTGATTCAAGCGAGTCATCAAAGCTGGCACCTAATGACTAGATATTCTGTCAGCAGAAACCTGCCTGTAAATAAAGGTGCGAGGCTGAAACCAGAAGATTGCAGTGAAAATTCGACCAGTGAAAATGTGATGAAGTGACTGGGTGTCTCCGGCAACACGGGTTTGACACAGAAACATTCGTGACCGTATTCATGTACAACGCGAATCCTGAGTCATGCACTGACAATCTCCAGGAAGAACTGTGGAAGAGAAATACGTAACTCTCCTATGCACACGAGTACCAGGACTCTTTCTGAATAATTACGGACATATTAGCAAGTGAATAAGTACCACGGCAGATATCCTCCATGTTTCTCATTAGTGAGCTAATGATGGAGGGAGAACTTTCTCCTTACTGTGGACATTATCCACAGATACAGTTCACAAGTCGAACTTGTGGACAAGTGACAGTCATCAGGCGACATTCAGTAAGCCAAGCAGACGACATCAATATCGGCCTCTGTCGATATAGTAACGTCAAAGGCTCTCGTTACAATGAGCCAGATACGTCACTATTCTACCTAACATCTGCCTAATTACCACTTCAGTGCCTAAAATAGATGTTAGGTGAACAGAGCTAACCATCGAGGCCGTCACTGGTGGGCCCCTCACCCAAGACACAGGTAAGGGTCGCCCACGACTTTCCAGGTGACATAAGTGAAATGTGTATAATACAGGTCTTCAGGGGGAGTGTTAACCGTGGTTATATCGCCCGTCACAGCCCCGTAGGTACCAAGATAACCGAGATCAGAGGAGACGCCCCAGACCCCCGGCTGCTGGGACTCTGAGTATCAACAAGATGAGTTCACCTGACCAACAGAACTCTTTATTATTGCACTCATTACCTGAAATCCCATACAGTTAGAAAGTATTTCTTCAGCCTTAGAGTTGTCAGGAAGTGGAACAGATTGGAGAGACAGGATCCATACATAGCTTTAAGAAGTGTGATAAAGCTCGTGGAGAGGGGAGAGACAGCGGACGTAGTAGTGATCAGCGAAGAGGCGGAGGCTGGTAGATACAGGTAACTGTCATCTTCGTGAGTCTCGTGTTGACGATGCTTCTTAGATCCAAGAAGCTCAACAACTTGAGAAGCCTAGTAATATGTCTTGAGAGACCTAACTGTTGGTACTAGACTGTTGATACTAACTGTTGGTACTAGACTGCTCATACCTTATCAGTGGTGCTAGACACTGCTCACACTAACTTACCAGGGTAGTGGTGGTGGTGGTGCTAGACACTGCTCACACTAACTTACGAGGGTAGTGGTGGTGGTGCTAGACACTGCTCACACTAACTTACCAGGGTAGTGGTGGTGGTGGTGGTGCTAGACACTGCTCACACACACTGCTCCATCTCCACTGATCACCAGGTACATCCTCCTCACAATGGTCAACCTCAACTCAGACACACACACTCCAGAGCCTACAACACCAGGCTTAAGTTATGACTCGAAAACAGCTTTCTCAATGACATTTTCAGGTAGTTGTGGTAGTTGTGGTGGTGGTGGTGGTAGTGGTGCTGGTGGTGGTGGTAGTAGTAACAGTATCAGCGATGAACCACCAAGTTCTTGCTATTGTGATGTAACTTAGCAAATTGCAATGGTCTCAGAGAACAACTATCAACGTGGACTGGGGTAACGCAGACAGCTATTAATGTGACAGCTTCTAAACATCATACATGCTGTCTATAGAATGTTTATTTCATATAAAGAAATAAGATCAAATAGAAATGACCCGAAATGGATGAATAATAGGCTCAAATATCTTTTAGGGCAGACGAAAGGAATTTATAGGCGCATCAAAAGAGGTGAGAGTCATCTTATGAATCAGTATATTGACATTACGAGGGACGTTACAAAGGGGATAAGAAAAACAAAACTGGACTATGAAATTAAAGTTGCTGGGGATTTGAAACCTAACCCGAAAGTTTTTTCCAGGTTTATAGAACAAAAGTTAGAGATAAGATAGATCCCCTTCAAAATAACTCTGAGTATCTTACTGACAAGGAGAATGAAATGTGCTCGATTTTTAATTATTTTCTCTCAGTTGTCACACAGGAAGACATTAACAATATCCCAAATGTTAATTTTTATAGTGGGTCTGAAGAAGATAAATTACGTAAAATCACAGTAACAAGCGATATGGTTATCAAACAAGTTGACCGAGTGAAGCAAAATAAGTCCCAGGGCCCTGATGAGGTTTTTTCAAGGGTTCTTAAGGAGTGCAAAAATGGAACTCTGTGAACCACTGACTAATATTTTTAATATATCTCTTCAAACAGGTGTAGTGTCTGATATGTGGAAGATGGCTAATGTAATTCCTACTTTTAAAACAGGGGACAAGTCGTTACTGTCAAATTACTGCCCAATAAGTCTGACCTCAATTGTAGGCAAATTACTAGTCAATTATAGCTGATAATATAAGAAGCCATCTTAATAAGCATAATTTGATTAATGATACTCAACATGGATTCACGAAGGGCCGTTCCTGCCTAACTAATTTACTTTCTTCAGTACAGCTTTTGATCACAATAAAGAATTCGATATTGTTTATTTAGATTTTAGTAAGGCTTTTGATAGAGTACCGCACCAGAAACAGTTGAAGAAAGTGGCAGCTCATGGCATTGGGGGAAAAGTGCTCTCATGGATCAAGTCATGGCTCACTAATAGGAAGCAGAGAGTGTCCATAAATGGAGTTAAATCTGAGTGGGGATCTGTAACAAGTGGCGTTCCACAGGGATCAGTTTTAGGCCCATTGTGATTTATAATATATATCAATCACCTTGACGAGGGAATTACTAGTGATATGAGTAAAATCGCTGATGACACGAAGATAAATAGGATAATTGATTCAGACGTAGATGTCAGGGAACTTCAGGAGGATTTAGACAAACTCAATTTGTTTTCAGAAAAGTGACAGATGCAGTTCAATGTAGATAAATGCAAAGTTCTAAAGCTCGGGAATATTCATAACCCTAACACCTATCAGCTTAATAATGTAGAACTTATCCGTGCAGAATGCCACATGGACTTGGGGGTTATGGTGAGCAGCAACCTTATACCAAGACAGCAATGCCTAAGCGTACGTAATAAGGCAAATAGATTACTGGGATTTATATCAAGAAGTGTAAGCAACAGAAGTCCAGAGGTCTTACTGCAGCTTTATACATCATTAGTAAGGCCTCACCTAGATTATGCAGCTCAATTCTGGTCTCCATATTACAGAATGGACATAAATTCGTTAGAAAACATTCAGCGTAGAATGACTAAATTAATACATAGCATTAGAAATTTTCCTTATGAAGAAAGATTGAAGACTCTTAAATTACATTCACTTGTTAGACGAAGAATGAGGGGAGACCTGATCGAAGTGTATAAGTGGAAGATGGGTATTAATAAAGGGGATATTAATAAAGGGGATATAAATAATGTCTTGAGGATATCTCTTCAAGAGAGAACCCGAAATAATGGTTTTAAATTAGATAAGTTTAGATTTAGAAAGGATATAGGAAAACATTGGTTTGGAAATAGGGTAGTTGATGATAGTAGCAGTCTGCCTAGTTGGGTTATTGAATCTAAAACCTTAAGTAGTTTCAAATTTAGGTTGGATAAATACATGAGTGTTCTTTTCCAAGATTGATGACTGATTACATCAACTACAGGCTGAGGGACTGATTACCTCAAACACCTTCTGATATCCACCATTCTTCTTTGCATAGGACCGATGAAGTCACTGTGTGGCGAAACGTTGCCTCAGTAAAGATACCCGAGTAACACCACAATGTTCACCACAACACAATATTCACCACAACACCACAATACCACAATGTTCACCACAATACCACAATGTTCACCGCAACACAATGTTCACCACAACACCACAGTGTTGAACACAATACCACAATGTTCACCACAGCACCATAACACCACAATATTTGCCACACCACAACAATGTTCGCAACACCATATTCACAGCACTACAATGTTCACCACAACACATGTTCACAACAACACCACAATGTTCACAACACCACAATGTTCACTTTAACAACACAATGTTCACAACAACACAATGTTCACCACAACACCACAATGTTCACAACAACACAATGTTCACCACAACACAATATTCACCACACCATGTTCACCACAACACAATACCACAATGTTCACCAAAACACCACAATGTTCACTACAACACCACAATGTTCACACCACAAATTTCAACACAACACAATGTTCACCACAATGTTCACCACAACACCATATTGTTCACAACAGCACAATGTTCAACACAACACCACAATGTTCACTACAACACATTATTCACCACAACACAATGTTCATCACAACATAATGTTCATCACAACATAATGTTCAGCACAACAACACAATGTTCACCACAACACCTAAGTGTTTACCACAACAACACAATGTTCACAACATTGTTCACCGTATTACAGAATGGACATAAATACTCAGGAAAATGTACAAAGGAGGATGACAAAGTTGATCCCATGTATCAGAAACCTTCCCTATGAGGATAGACTAAGGGCCCTGAATCTGCACTCTCTAGAAAGACGTAGAATTAGGGGGGATATGATTGAGGTGTATAAATGGAAGACAGGAATAAATAAAGGGGATGTAAATATCGTGCTGAAAATATCTAGCCAAGACAGGACTCGCAGCAATGGTTTCAAGTTGGAAAAATTCAGATTCAGGAAGGATATAGGAAAGTACTGGTTTGGTAATAGAGTTGTGGATGAGTGGAACAAACTTCCAAGTACAGTTATAGAAGCTAAGACCTTATGTAGTTTTAAAAATAGATTAGATAAATACATGAATGTGGGTGGGTGTGAGTTGGACCTGACTAGCTTGTGCTACTAGGTTTGATGCCTTGCTCCTTAAGTGAATGTGACCTGACCTGGCTAGGTTGGGTCATTGGCTTAAGCCGGTAGGAGATTTGGACCTGACTCGCATGGGCCAGCAGGCCTGCTGCAGTGTTCTTTCTTTTTGTTTGTTTATTAAAAAACATGTTTAGCCCCCC